AGCGTCGCAACGAATTCAAAGCCGCGGCACTCACCGTTCGCTGCTTTGCGCCGATTCCACGCACTGGCCCGGCGGAGGCAGGCGGGAAATTGCAGACCCCCCAGCAGAAGAAAAATGAAAAAGGGAACCAGATTCCTGCAACCTCTTGCGAAGGCAACGAAGCTTCCGGGTTGGTCGACGACAACGTCACTGCTACAGGTTTACGAGGAAGAGGTGGCGGCGATTAGCAGGCGAGAGCGAGCGAGAGAGCTATAAAAGGAAGGATCCGTGAAGGAGGGTGGACGGAAAAAAAAAGGGGGGGGAAGAAGAGAAAGAGAGAAAAGCTGTTCACCTCCACGGCTTAGATTCTGCCTAAGAGCCCTGAGTACCCCCTTTGCCAAGCCACAAAGTAAACCTTTTTTAGCAGACGAGGGAGCAGAACCTGGAGCAGCCTTGGGGGAGTGAGCGGCCCTGCAGATAGAAATCTAGCAGGGCGAGCTGCAGCGAGGACTTTGCGGAAGGCCCCCAGTGGGTTGCGGGTTGAAACCGTTTTCTGAGTTTCTGCAAGACGCTGGTCCCAAATGAAAGGGGCTTGGCTCGCCCCGCGTGACAGTCCGAAATATTGAACCAAAGATTCGAATTAGCTGTCAATCGTGGGTTGTGCGAATGAGACTACGAGATTTGAACTGAGCTAGGTAGGGATACTGTGTGAGGCCAGCCAAGGGGGTGGGGGAGATGGCGCAGCTGTCAGTCCCTCCAGTGGGATTCTGCAGGGGTCAGGAAATGCTGACCGACTGAGTAAGTCCAGGCATTGTTCTAGACGAGGGTTTCTCAACCTTGGCAACTTTAAGATGTGTGGTCTTCAACTCCCAGAATTCCCCAGCCAGGACCACACATCTTAAAAGTTGCCAAGTTTGCAAAAACACTGGTCTAGACCCAGAGCATCTGTGTTGAGGCTGGTTTTGCAGAGAGGAAGCAGAAGTCTGAAATAGGTTTGCACAGCCTAATGGTTACTGAATGGTCTGGATTCTTCCAGTACATTGAAACTAAATGGGCTGAGCTAACATAAGACACACGCAAAGATAGACTGAGGTGAGTGTGTTCTGTCAATGCAAGATGGGCTTTTAATTGATCTGATGAAACATGCTGTGTGAATGCAGTTTCTCCGATTGGGGCTACTAAATCGACCTTGCAAAAATTCAGATGACTGCTAGAGGGCCAAAGTCTAGGGACCCTTTGCTGCCCTCTGGTGGTCCTACAAGGTTTTGAAGCCCAGATTTAGTAAGAGTACAGATGTCCTTAGTCTGTAATTCTTTTTGTTGCTTTCCCCCAACAAGTTTGCTCCCTATCTGGAAGGGAGATTGTCAGAATATTCATGTGGCTTCAGCATACCAGACCCAAGAGGTTCATTCATATGTTGCCATACTATTAAGTGGATATCTTGAAAAAAAAGCTAGTTGTTATGTGTTAACCATGGTTCTAATGGGATGGAGTCATGGTGTTTCCAAACACAGCCAATTAGGTTTCGTGGGTTATATGTGAACCCCAATATTTGGCTTGATTCATCAAATCCTGGTTGAAACTGGTTAGTTCTTAGATGAGACTCCACCAAAGAAGTGATGACCACTTCTGGCCTGGAGCCATGACATCACTAGGAGTCAAGCTTGAGCAAAAGGAAGATTTACCATTAAGGCTCTCCACGGGCAGGATTAGTGCTTCAGCAGAGCCCAAATGCATTGTTAACCCGTGCCACAAGCAGAATAGCTGGCAAATGAATGGGTTGCCCTTTTTAGTATCTGGCACCTGTAAAAGCTGGAGCCAAGATTGGCCAAGTTTCTTTGGAATCTGAGACAAAAATTAGATGGTGTCCTCCCTTTGTGACCGGACTGATAGATGACTCCTATTTCAGCACTGATGACCACACACAGGGTCAGGATAAGCCACGTCCTGCTGCTGCTGAGTCCTCTGCGTCTGCTCCCTGAGCAGTTGCTTCAGTCTGCCAGATGATAGAACTGGCCCCAGCAAGCATGCTCAGTGCCTATTAAATTTATTTCTCCCAGATAATCGATGAGGTTCTGATTAAAACACACGGATGGACTAAAACAGAGGAGTGGGAGTGTGCTCAAAAACGTTCTGTTGAAATCAGTAGACTGAGCTGAGGAACGCGTGGGACTACATCACCCATATGCTCTCTGGTTAGTTTGGAATTGCCAAGAAGCTGTGATAAAGCCAGGTTGTTGAAGCAGAGGAACTTCTCCCTTGGAAAATGTCTCCTGTAGAAATAGGCAACCTGTTGTAGGAACTGCATTACAACTTATATATAAATTTAGAATCTGTGTTTAATTTGTATCCTTAATATTTGCATTCTCTTTCTATTATCTTCATGGAGATTCTGAGGCTTCCATCATATTGTGATCTGCCAAGAATAGTATATTTTCTTTTTCTTTTTCTTTTTCTTTTTCTTTTTCTTTTTCTTTTTCTTTTTCTGTTTTTTTTTTTTTTTTACTCATTTGGGAGCTGCTGTATTCTGTTACTTGGCAGCTTAGCAATTTAAGTTTGATCAGTGTTGAATGTTTGCATTTAAAGTAAAAAAAGTACAGGAAAGTTTTAAAAAAGTAACCCCTAGAGTTAGTTTGCTTTTAAATATAGTTTGTATTTGGTTTGTCTCTTGTGAGAGTGCCTGTCTCTGATATGGTGGGGTACAAGAGGAGCTGAACCCTCTAGTCACACACCTCTATACTTCATTGTCAAGAGAATGAATAATAATGACAATAATTCTGCCTTTATTTTGGTCAACTCAAGGTGGCATACGTACCTAGTGCCTCCTATTTTCCCCACAATACCCCTGTCAGGTGGGTTGTGCTGAGGGTGAGGGACTGACCTAAAGTCACCTAGCCAGCTAATTAGTGGGTTACTATCAGGTGAGGAGCCATCTGGAGGATATGTTATGACAACAGGAATTCAGTCCATCATCCCATTGCAGGAGGTGGGGTCAGGTTGTGAAAACTTAAGAGGGCCTCTGGGAGAGGTGGTTTGAGACCCCAGCCCTCTACCCTGGAAGCTCAGTGGTCTTCTATAGGAGGTAAAGTAACATTTGACACTAATTAGCTTCCTCTCATTATTTCAATGTATTTTAGTTTGCATTTTGAGGAAGACTATTTCGGCAGTGGTAACCACTGCTTTCATCCTAGTTAATTCCCAGCTTATAGTTAGCAGTAAAAATGGCTGTGAATGGTATAATTACCATATTTATGCCCTTAAAATTTACCATAAATAATACCTTTACAGGAATTGCATTATTATATTTATGTCCTTCTTGGGAAAAATGAGTTTTTTTGTTTTTATCTTACAAGAACCCAAATTTTTTAATAGAATAATTGGTGGGACTTAGGATCCAAAAGGTTGAGAATCACTAACTGAACAGATGTGCCCACAAAGTGCCCACATGCATTCCAGTGAACAGCTGGTCTCCAGCCCTGTAGGGTGTACAGGAAAATGTCTCATAAGCATATTTAGGAGATGAAGATGGCAATGTCTGGTAACAGGATGGAAGAATCCCACAGACTCCTGAGTTGCAGTGGTTCTGTTCAGTGTTCAGACGAAATGCTGTCCCACATAACTGAGATGGTTGATAGGTAGGTAGGTAGATAGATGATAGAAAAGATGCTGGAAAAGTTAATGGACCAAAACTGGCCATTTGAGATGATTTTGTCATAAATTGTCCTATTCTCACTCAATTATGAATAATACAGAATACTCCAATGAAGGACATTGTGTTTTTTAAACCTGTGTATATATTTTCTTATCAAAGAGGAGCTTGGGAAAGGTGTCCCACTCCATCTTCTGCATCCAAACATGTATTTTTAGAGTTTGCAGTTAGCACACACATTTGGTTAGCAAACAGAATAGACAGATGTGGAGGCAACAGATCCTGTTACCAGCATTGTGGGTTATTTAGCAAGAGTATTGGCAATGATTCATTTTTTAATGATTTTTTTAAGATCATGGTTAGATGGTGCCCTTCCTTCATAATGAAGTAGAGAGGCTTGGTAGTTTACTGCAATTGGCCATGATGACACCCTGTTTGTGATTAAATGCTGTACAGCTTCCTAGCTGTACTTGCACAGGTTCTTTATGAATATTCTTCAGAGAGTGGAAGTGGTATGGTACATCACTTAGTGAAGTAAAGGGATAGTGCTTGGCTCTTCTGTGGTTTTCATCCACCACCCTATTTTCAGGTTCACGGAAAGTAAAATGAATGAAAGACTCAAAGGCGTTTCCACAAGGTCGCCACAAGGATGATGAAACGTCCTGTGACTTCTTCCACGCTATTTCACGTTAGCTTGCTAAGCAATGCTTTGATTTGGGTATTAGCACAGGGAGGAAACAGAACAAGGGAATTTATGGGAACTGTCTCTACGAGCAAGAAGACACAGCACACCAGCTCGGTCAGCACACATAGTAAACTGGGTTCCAGTCCTGGGGTGGGGAGGAGGGATCTCTCTGGAGAGCTCTACTTTATTCAGTGTCTCAGGGCTCTCTGCCCACTGCTTTCTAACATTGATATGAAATGGCTGGGGCGGCCATTCGTTAGCATGGGATCTGGCATCATCAGTATGGTGATGCTACCTAGTCAGACACCGGCCCCAGGCCAGACGCAATTCAGCAGAAGCGCTGACCCAGTGCCTGGATGCTGTCACGATCTGGACGGGGAGGAGCAGATCCCTCAGAGCAGAATGTCTTGGGTCTCTGGGCCCAATGATTCCACAGAAATGCCTTCTTTGACTCTGGTTTGCTATTTGGGGGTCCTTCCGGACTCACAGCACCAGCTCAGTCAGCAGATGGTGGCTGTGGCCGGATGGGCCTTTGCACACTTGTGCCTTGTACACCTATTGCAGCCATTCCTGGACTGGGAGGCCTGACTCACAGTCACTCATGACTTAGTCCACCCCTGCTTGGATTACTATAACTCACTCTACCTAGGGCTGCTCTTGGAAAGCATTCAGAAGCTACAGTTAGTACAAACTCAGGCGGTAATGGTAATATCCTGATACGTTTGGCTCACCCCACTTTTATGGAACCTGCACTGGTTTCCAGTTGACAGGGGCTGGATCACCTTTAAGACCCTACCTGGCTCAGGACGAGGCTATCTGAGGGAGTGCCTTCTTCCATATTTATCTGCCCACCCATCATCCGAGTGAATAGGGCCCATCTATATGAGATGGTCACCTGACAGCACCTGGGAACGGAGTCTTATCAATTGCTGCCCCCGTTTTGGAATCCCTTCCCCACAGAGATCTGATCTGCTCCTCTCCACCCAGATTTCTGGAGAGTTAAGATCTGATGGTTCCATTTAGCGCCGGAGGAGGGCGTTGTGAGTGAAGGTTCGAATATGGCAAGCGTGTGACTTTGTATCTTTTCTGTTTATTTTGATGTTTGTTTATATTATGGGTACATTTGATGTTCTGTTTATTATTTTGATGTTTGTTTATATTATGGGTACATTTATTTTTATTTTATGATGACCTTGATGTTTAGCCACCCAGGGTCTTCTGAAACGGGGAGCGTGCAAATAAGTAATAACAAACAAATAAATAAACAATATAGTATATACTTGGGGAACCAGTTTGGTGTAGTGGTGAAGGCACCAGGCTAGAAACCAGGAGATGGTGAG